GCCCTGGAAGGTTTTACGTGCATGATAGCCGAGTGACTTTTTTTTATATCAGGAAAGCCTAGTCTGAAGCCATTTAGCACTACACTTAACTGCACTGCTAATATGAGCCTACAAAAAAGGTGGAGAACTGGAAAAAGGAGAGAAGAAACAGTCAGTGGGAAAGGTCTTAGAAAGCGAAAGTTCATTTTGCTATGGGACAGGGAGAGTAAGATAACAGACTCATTTGGAGAAAGGCTGATAATGTGCTAGAAGGAAAAAAAGTATTTGCAGCATAATAAGGAACTGAGGTATGAAATTTTGATTGACAGACAAAAGAAACAAAATTTGCACTAGAGAAGAATGAGGAAAAATTAAGGAAAAATTCACTGAAAGAGTGGAGTAGGGCAGGAAAACTTTGAGGACTGGTAAACTGCGAAGGGTGTCTTGGAACACAAACAGACATTTAGGAAAAAAAAAGATATGCCTGAGAATTCATGGAAAATGAACAGGGTGAGAAGACTTTAGCAGAAAATGATGGAGCTGATTTCAGAAGAAGCTGGACTGATGCCATGTAGACTTAGAAATTAATTGGAAGAAAGCAGAAAAGACACAAGCTGAGACAATTGCTAGAAAATAGGAGAGAAATGGAGAAGATAAACAATGTAGCAGCCTGAGAAGCAGAAAGTTTGGTTAAACTTCCTGTTCTTATCAAGATAGCTTTGGGAGAAAAGCATAAAACAATTTAGGAAAAGGATGACATGACAGGGACATCATATGAAAAGAATGGTCAATGGGGAAGATGGTGCAGAAGTGGAAAAAATTTAGATTAATTTAGACAATGCGTAGAGGTAGTGGTTGATTAAATGGAATGAAGATGAATGTACAGGACATGGGAGGGAAACTACTGGGAGACAGAAAACTGGGAATGTGGGATTTATAGAGGAAAAGAAAAAATAATAATGTAGGCAGATAAATACATGGTAAGTAACCAGATGGGGAAGAAAAAGTCGATGGAAATCAGAAAATAAAAGCGGCAGTAAATGTAATTGTTCTAGTGCTTAGTAAGAGGTCTGGTAACAAAACAGTATATAAAAGTCAAACATTATCTTTGTATGGTACCTTTTAGTGTGGAATGAGGGGGTCTTGGGAAACCGGATGGGGAGCTAGGCATAGGCATCTAGTGAACCTACAATATGTATGGAGAAGAGGATAATCTGCTTTATTTTTATTTTAAACAGAAGCAAGAAAGACAACATTTAAAACCAGTGTCTACACCAGTTCCTAACAACTTAGTAACTGTATCTGTTAAAAATATATAAGTATATTTGAAACCCATAATTGGGATATTTATTATGATTATTTGTTAGCATTTAATGGAAATTCCAGCAAACTGTTATCTACTTGGTACTTAAAAAAAACAAACCCAACCCTAAAATATCCTTTATTGCTTCTTTTTATAGTCTTACATTCAAATTACTTTTTATTAGCTCTACCATTTTACAAAAGACTTTACATGAACTAAAAGTGAATCTGAATGAGTGCTACATGATGAAAAAGAGAACATATCCCATTTATTGACAAATGTAATTATTTTTTATGCTTAAATTAGTCCTACTCCATATTCTCAAAAGTGATATTTAAAAATATCAACATTAAATATAAATAGTAGTTAAAAATCTTTATTTTTAGTTATTAAATCCTTGAACAATATTTTCTTAAATGCTGAAATTAACACTTCGCATTTCAATTCTTTCACTTCCCCACAGAATGCTTCAGCTTTCCAACTTTTGTTTGCTTAGTTATAGAACTGCATAGCATGCTTAATACAGTAAGCTGAAAAAAATCTAATGATTGTGGATAGAGAGACTATTACCCCAGACATGCTTTGATACCAAAACATAGATATATTTTTGAAAGGAATAAGAAAAGCATAAATATTTCCCTAGTAAGTAATCTGAAGTATGAAAGAGGTAGTATTATATTCTTCATTATGGAATATATTGTATATTCTATAGAATAATTCTTCTATAGTGCATACTAGGTTATACAAAACATCACTTACAAATAAAATGTAAGGACGTAATTGAAATCTTGCAAAATCGTAAAGCCATGGTCTTTGTTGCCCCAATGAAAATTCAAAAAAGTTTTCAAAAAAGACCAGTTTCACCCACTGGATAACTTTTGTAGAGTTTCGCTGCTAAATTCTCCAAGGAGCCCATCTGTACTGAGCATGCTTTATTCCAGTGTTGCAGGAACGAGACAGTTCTTTCCCTGCAACTCTCTCTCCTCTTTCCTGCAAACAATTGCCATGCTATATATTGAGATAAAAACAGAGGAACTGACTTTGCTTTTCTCTCAGTGTTTCTCTCCCTGATATCCAGACAGATGCAGAAGAAGAAACAGAACGTGTACTGAAAGCAGCAGGGAATGTGATGGGGAGGTCAGGGGGAAACAGAGAATACATAGTGAGATGTGGTACCAAACAGGAAAGGCTGGCAATGGGAAATGTCAGTGCAGCATGGACTTAAGAAAGGGCTGGACGAGAGGAGAAGGCAACTGGAAGGGTCAGACAGAGACAGGGGACTGGGGGTTACTGAGAAGAGAAAGAGGTTGTCATTAAAAAACTAATGAGGGTGGCACAAAACTGAGTTCAGAAGAGAATGGTGGAAGAATGTGAAGTTAGGAAAAAGAAACAAAATGTAATGCAGAGCAAGGCAAGAGTGAGATTAGCCATTGACAAAAGCTGGAATTGGAGTGAGGAGGGAAAAACTAGGAGGAACTGGCACATACAGTGATACAGGGTAAGGGGGACAGAGATAAAAGGGGGTTTATGGTGAAAGGGAATCCCGCTTCCAAAATTGGAAGTGAACACAAAGAGTCCTGACACTCAGCATTACTTGTCTGCCATTAACTATTTCTTGAACTATTTCTGAAACCTGTCAGCCCATAATAGCCAATCCACAATGACTTAAGCTCCTACAGTTACATTTGTGCTCTAAAATTCCTGAACTGTTGTATGACAATTAAGCTGAATATTAATTGATAAGAAATTACAGCTCTATTTCTTTCTTCTTTTCTTCCTTTTCCTCAAAAAAAAAAATCCTATAATATGTTAAGGCTGCAAAGTAAAGACAGAAAATGTCAGAATTAAGGTTGCCTTTACAATGTGTTCCAATATCACGATCAGAATATATTATGGTCCCATTTTTAATTAAATAATCATTTGTGGGTTGTTTTTTATTTCCTTGCACTACCTTGGACAGATAAGATCTTGATTTGTTGTAGAAATGGAAATATATGAAATGAGCATAAGTAGGCAGAGGATAGCTGGAAAAGAATGGATAATTATGGTTAAAAAGCCAAAGTGCTGTTTCTGTATAGTTGGGGATAAGTCCTTTAGAACACATACTTGCAAAATACTCAGTAATTATGTGCTGCTCATTTTATAAATAACCAGCGTAGTATCTCAGCCCATAAATGAAACTGAACAGTGATTTTAGATACACTGAACACATTTGCCAAAAATGCAAACTATCCTGAAAAAATAGGTCCTAGCTACTCGAAAGTTGAGCAAATTGTAACCTTAACCTTTCTGTGACTCTGCTTCCCAGCTTTCAAATAGGAATACTCCAAATTTCACATTCTTGTAGGAATGTGCTGAAGATAAAGTAATTGCAAAATTGCAAATTGCTCAGGTACTGCAGTGCCTAGTGTAACAGAATAGCCTCTCAAGAAATTAGAAGTCATTCTTTGCACCAAACAAAGTAACAAAATGACGATTATAACAAAATGACATAATGACTGGATTCTTACTGAATTAATTATGTCAAATGGTGCTTTAAATAAGGGATACATTTTATGGGAAGGAAAACAGGATTCTGGAATAACAAACCTCATAACATGTACCTGCTTCCCAGGCAACGTTTAATCTGGCATATTCCAACTTCTAAATTATTGACTTTGCAGACATAACTTGATTTAAATCTAAACATTTTTGTTTATATACATGTGTTCAACTTCCATAAGAACTTATTACCTCTTCTGTATTTGTTTATATGCTCAATACATTAAAAGCTTGTGGACTTTTTATTCTGTTGTTACAGCCTCCTTGTGGCACACCAGTAACAACTCTTTAGGAGTTAGAAAAAGTGTTTAAATGACACACAGAAGATGTCAAATGATACTGTTAAGATTATTGACTTCAAAATACAAAACAAAGGCAATTGAGACTGATTACTGAAGCTAATCATTTTAGGCTTGTCTTCATTTCCAATTGAAAAGAAATGCTTTTTTTATTGTTTAGTGTTCACATAGGTAGATTTAGCCTGTTGACTAGAGAAGATGTTACAACATAAATACTATCTTAAAAATTTTCTCTTTACTATTATATTGGTGTTGACAATATAGATATGTACATTCAGATTCACAGGAGAAGTAATGTGGCTCTCTTTAGTATTTAATGTATAAATTTACTCAGTAGATAAATTTTATTAAAATGTAAATAAAGGAATATGGTAAATGAAAAATCCAAGAAGGGAATAACCAGTTTATTTATCATTAATGCTCAGAATAGCTTATTGAAACACACCTTTCAGTAACTGCAACTGTGTATTAGCTATGAAATTCTCATCATGCCTTAAATGTTACCCATCAGGTTTAGCCATTTATATAGTTAAAAGGATTAAAATGTTTCAAATATACCTTTAAAAACAGTTATCTTGCTCTAACTATACATATTCACAAAAACTGCATTCAGCATGTCTGAAATTCGACCCAATACTGCTTCAAATTAATTATTATTCTTTAATTGCTCCGTATAAACAGAAATGACCTATTAATTTAAGGAAAATCCATCAGCACAGAATGTATTCTCTCTTATAAACAAGCAAGATGAACTTGACCTTGCTTGAACTTGTTTTGATGTGGCCCAGATGGTAGGCTACATGCTTGAATAGCAGTCTAAAGCTGAGGAAAAACTCATATAGCAAGATCTAGATTTATAGCCTTTTGCAAATTCCTACCTTGTATTGTCCTTTCAGCATCTGTTCTGCCCCCGCTGCGGTCAGCTTCTATCTCTGGGGTCAGAGAGTCTAGAAACATAGAAAGGTAAGACTGACACATATTTCATTTGATTCTTATAGCCCTTTTTACAACCTGTTACTCCAATGCTGAATTACAATACAATCAACCTTTGTCAGTTTTTTTAATGTTGAACAATGACTGGAGGCCAGGACAATTTTTTGTTAGACTAGGAAGATTAACGAGCAATAGATTTTTCAAGCATAAAGGGGTGGGGGGAGAAAAAGAAGAAGAAAAAAATTGACTTCTCAAGCTAATAATATAAAATTGTCCTAGTTTGGACATTCTTTGCAGTGAGTTTATTTGCACTTACTATATAAAGTAATAAAACCATAAAGAGAGATGCCTCACTTGGATAAAGGAAGGAGATTTTATTTTTTTTCCCCTCCCATCATGTTATAAATTTTCAAAATAACAAGCTTCTTTTGGCACTTAAATTGAAACTTAATGACACAGAGGCAAAAACTGGCTTCTTACCATTTAGGACCCTGAGACTATCTGTTGAAGCTGCCTGTTTCAGTGTCTGTTCTGCTTGCTCCCGTCGTTTAGTCTCAAATTCAAGTGCTTCCTGCAATTTCCTCTTTGCCTTCTTTTCCTTCTTTAGACGTTTCTGAATTATTGCTGGGAAAAAAAAGAAAATCAGTGTACTCAAATTTGGATCTGATAATTGGCTCCATGTTTACCTATTAAGAGTTCTGAGAAACAATCCAACTGCAACAGTTCATATGAATTGATTTGTTATAAAATACCAATTTACATTACTTGAAAGTTGCTGCAATCACACTGGGATCTTCTAAAAGCTATTGTTCTATACTGTGGTATTAAAAACTATAGGTCTTATTCAGCTATAGCATATAGTATTTTTTTTTAATAAAAAGAGAGAATCTGTGAATGTCCAAATCAGAAAACCTTGGACAGGCAAGGAAATGTACTTTCTCCATTATCTGACATAGATATGCCTGCATCTCTGGAGGTCAGGTGTTTTTTTGGGATTAAGTCCACCATTTCAGCACACAGTATAGACATAGTGATGAAGTTCTCGCCTGCCTGCCTGCCTGCTGCTCCTCTCCCACAAGAGGGAGATCTGGCTGCTTGGGTGCCCGGGCTGCAGGAGGAGCTCAGCCCCGACTCTGCTGTGGTCCTCGGATCCTTAAGGAAAGGGCCTGAGCTTTCTCACTCCCCACCAAGCTGCTGGTTCTTCAAGCCATCTGGCTTGTTGGTGCCCAGTCTTTTCCCCATATTTATTTCTTATCCACATTTTCCTTTGTCCTTCCCTTTTTCTTGTTCTCTTTCTCTGGCTCCTGTCCCATCAGCCAACTAACCTTGGAGAACTCATAGCAAATCCTGCACAGCATAAATACTCGCACAGTGCTGGGTTCCCCTCCTCCTCAAAGGTAAAAAAAGTAAATGTAAATATTACTTTGCTTTGCAAAATGTGGGGGGAAATATTAGGAAAGGAAGGAGTATTTTAAAATTAAGCATTAAAAGGCTCTTTAGAAAAATGTTTTCCTTGTATCTATTCAGTTCAAATTTAGGGTTTTCAGGGATGTGCATGTAAGAAGCTTAGTTCTCATAAGACCTTTCCTGGAGAGTCTGTTATTTTGACACTAAATAAAAAGTTATCTACTAAACGACTAAATAATTTTTCACCTGCACTAAAAGAATTATCCTTACTACAACCAGATTGTAGGTGAAACTAGGTTTGACTGCCAAGATCTATCTAGCCCTGTATCTCACTCAAAAGTAACCTCCGGTATATGTCTAGGGATGAATTATGGAAAAGGTAAAAATATACTTCCATAAGTCCATACTCCCCATTTCCAGTAGTCTGTGGTATCTTTCACAAAATGCAAATAATGAAACTTTTAAAGAGAACCATCATTGCTATTACTATTTAATGTACATGCTAAGAATAATCCCTTTTTGTGTGATCTTGGATATTTTGTGTTACTATACAGAACTATGCAGACAAAAAATGAATATAAGCACATACTCTGTAGTCTGAATAGCTACATAATTTACATCCAAGACTTTGGAATTTTGGTTCTTTCTCATTTTGTATAGTACCAACTATTTTACAGGCTAATTAGCTTATACTATCAAAGAACATCTAGTATCTATACAAAGGCTAAACTAAATACATTTTGAATCATTGCATGGTTTTAATGTTTTCATTATAAGTACTTTGAAAGTGATTGCAATAAATGAGAAGGAAACATATGTTGCTTTCTGAATTAAAATGTCATCATGGTTGACACACTGTAGATGTGTACAGCGGTTGGAGTCAGAATTAGCAAGCCCTTACTGTGTAGCTGCTCACAGAAGAGATATTATCCTACTTTCACCAGTTGATGAGACGCATCCTACAGCCTTAGGAATCACTAATTGGAATATTTACAAAGAAAGGAAACTGTACAGCAAATAAGCAACTCTGTAGATCATATAGTAGCAGTAGTGAATTTAACGTTCAAAAAATGGCAAAAATATTTAGATGTAGCCACTAAAGATATCTGACTTATGTTAACATGACAAGGAAAAGACAGATGTTGCCTAATGCTGAAGATCCCATTCACCTAATGGGTTTTGACCTCTATGTGACACAGTGGCTTGTGTTTCTATTCTGCAGCTTTTAAGTGTATTTCAGTTTTTTCATGCAGTATCTCTTAACTTAACAGGGTTATGGTACGCTTCTCCCATCTTGCTCAATCTTCTGTTAAGATATGTGAAACTTTCCTTAAGACATGACACTTGCTATCTGGAAAAGTAATAGTAGGTAAAGACTCCGATGTATTTTTCTACCTTTAATTGAAGAATAAATTCTCACAATAATTGCAATCTGGCCTTATTTTTTCTTTCCTACTTGGATCTGTTAATTTTAAATAATAATGCATTGCTTTTCTTTCTTTTGTACAGAAGTATCCACTACCAGTGACAGTGATATTCACTATATTTGCTTTGCTCCATATCACCATTAAGTGTTCAAACCCATTCCTCTGGTCTGACTCTTTTACCAATGCAGTATCATCATTAGAGGGATACATATAAAAAAGCAGGTAATGCACCATGCTGAAAATAACACTGTCAAATATTTCAGTACCCTGAACAAAATAAAGAACTAATCCATGCTCTTTCCTGACATACAACTTGGAGTGAAATTAATTGTGCTTAATTTTAACTGCTCAAAACATATGCGTCTAGTCCAGCTTAGTCAACTATATTCCCTCTGGAGTTAAAGAGAAGAGAACGAAGTCTTCACAATGTAATTGACTCCACCTACCTGCCTGAGAACAGCATATACAAATCTCTTTATCAATCAGAAATGGAATTCGTATTAGCTTAAATGAGGTGCTTAACTTTTAGATGGCAAAACTCAATTAAAGTCAGATGGGTCCCCCCCAACCTCTTATATTGTGCATGTGATAGCCTAACTCTAAAAAAGAATATTTGAGTGGTTGCGAGACACAGAGGTAGAAGGATGTGAAGAGTAACCAAGTTTTTTTACAAAAGTACTTTAAAAGTGTAAGTAGTGCAATTGTACTGAGCAAAACAAGCCAGTTGCGGACAAAGGGACAATTCATTAAACAGCTGTGATAATAGTTAACAGTAGTCTTTAAAAATGTATTTGCAAAAGTTTAAAAAGGGAAATTAATGATGTGACAGTTCTACCCTTAAATGTGTCAAGGCATGAAACAGGATTACATTGTGTACTTACTGCTAGCATGTTAGTTAAAGGTATAATGATACCGTTTGTGAATCCAAGTGTTCTTGGGATTTCCTATTTAGCTGGTTCTCGGAAAATTAAACTGGACAAGAAGAGAGTTATAACTTTAGCTCTGCACAAATACATATCTGACTTGTCATGGTCTGTGTTAAACAGCAAGTGTTCTCCAGAGGTTAACTGTCCCTTACAAAATAATTAGATGCTATTAAAGGGCAAGACATACATATATGGAAGAATGGACCCATAAAGAAAGATGGGAACGTGCTCATAATGCAAATAGTTAATGCAAATCACTGTAAACTGCCTTACCTTTACTATCAATGAAATTTAAAGTCTTTAACATTTATATGCTTTACAGTGGGCTGATGTTAATGTTTGAAATGCTATTAATGCCACTGCCTTATCAAGAAGGACCTTAACTGTACCATCTACAAACATGCTTGATCTGCTATTCATTATAAAGGGCTTATGTATTACCATCATCTTTATATTTATTACATACAGTTTGCCTAAATATGCAATATGCACCCTAAATATGCACCCTAGCACATAAGAACAGAGACAAGAGTTCCTAAAATCTTGCAGATTCTTAAATTTGATTCAAATTGTCTTTGAATTAAGTAACTGTCTCCCAACCTGCCAAAGTCCATCACAGCATCTATGGCATTTATAATTGTGTTGTGTATTACTGAGGTGATACATTATATTCAAGAAAAACACTGAGAAAAAGGAAAGTCCTTGTTCTAAATCCCATGCATTGCAGTCAGCTTGGACATAACATAAGGTAAGGGGGAAAAGTTTTGATCAAAGAGGTGTTTGATAAAAAATTAGGCTTCCTAAGGGAATAAATTACAAGGTGTTTATGTCTGCTCAATTAAGATACCTCTGTTCTTTTGCTCCACAGCCAACTGTTTTTCAAGTGTTTCCCTCAGTTCTCGTTCCCTGAAGAGCTCCATCTTCAGTTCTGTCTTTTCCAGTTGGACCTGTTTCTCTTGAGCTCTGGCATTGTCTATAGCAACCTTTAGTAGACCCTGTTCAAAGATAAAATTGGATAATATTTGAAGACTGTTAGAACAGCTGATACACTAAATAATTCTGTTATTTTTTCTTGATTAGTCATGTGAGATTTTTACAAATGAAATAATCCTGTTTCAGAGTCAAAGCCTCTCAGTTGTTTCTCAAAAGAAAAAATTTACTGGAATTTACAAATGGGCAAAAACCTGTAAAAAGCCAGAAGTCAAGTTTTCCCACAAAATGCAAACTCACCTTTGACTGTGCATGTAACTAATGTGAAGAAGTTATAGGGATAGGTTTATTCTTTGTAAGAGATAAAAGAGACAAGCCTACATCAGGCACCTGCCTGTGATCAAAACAAAAAGCTTTCGTCTTGAAAAAGCATTGGCAGTCTCACAGTCACATCATCCACAAAACAGCAAATTCAATCTCTAGCACAACTCAAGCCAGTGGAAATTACTAAAGACAGAAAGGCCCTTTTTGCCATTTTGCTACTTGTTATTGTTAATTGTTATTATTTTCACATATTTCAATATTTCATAGAGATTCCAAGGAAGACAGGGTTATTGGGATGCTAAGCAGAGGACAGTCACAAAACAGGAAGATATCTCTGTTTTAAAAAGTCCATTCTCTGACCTTGTACAACTGTTACCTCACAGTAGAGAACAAAACACAATCATCTCTTAATTTCTTGACTTGAGGTAGTTGAAATAAACTCTACCCTTTTTTGTTGTTATTGTATCAGGAAATAATGCTTCAGCTTATGCTAAACGTCTCTTAAGAATTTCAACTTCACAATTTCTTTTTTTGCAAGGAAACAGGAAGATACTCGCACAGCTAGTAACCTGATAGTTAGGACACTAAAATAGGGTATGAAAAAGAGAAGGAGAAATGGAATTGAAATAAATGAACATGGCAAGAGGAAACATTTCCTTTTCCATTTTCCAGAAGCTTGACCATCAGTCGATGGTTGATTCTTGAATTTCTCCTCTTGAAGCTACCATAATAGAATAGATAATTAAGCATGGATATGCATATATGAACCTCCATGGATACGAACCTAACTCTTCTGTATCCTAGTCAAGTCTCCTAACAACTTAACTGTAGAGATAATTTGACCCAACAGAGATTTAATTACTGATATAAAGCAAAACAATGTCAACAAGGGAGATTGAAGAGTACTCCCCAACAGCTCTGCTAGGGAAGCATTCAGCTAACAGATAAAAGGTTCACACTCAAGACCCGGTTTCAGAACAACCACACTACAAACATGAAATCACATCCCCCAACTCCCAAGTAAGCTTCACCCCTCAGGCACACTTCCTAAATTGGATTCTGGGTTGCATGTTTTTTCACTAAAATTGTTTGAGACACCTACAAAAAGGAATGAAAAAAGGAAGCCAGTATGATGATACCTGAGAAATGGAAAATATATTTTTCATGAGTGTTAGTATGCACATTTATCCCACTCGTCTTCCCAAAGTCAATGACTGCTTTGAAATTTCTGTCCTTCAAACTTCTCTTTTATGTCTTTTTTCAGAGCCTGTTATTTTCAGTACTCCTCATCCTCATTCCTAACTAAATTTTTGCCTCAAGTGTTGTCTCATTCAGAACCTAATGCTTTGCAGCTCCATTACGCTTCAATCTATTAAAGCCCGCAGGAGCTGAAAGAACTCAACACCTTCTGACTGCAAGAACCAGATGGTCACCAAAATTATATGAAGTATGTAAGTATAGAACTGCATCTGATAATATCTAACATTGGTAACACAACATATGTGCTTACAAATATGTGTAGTTTTAGCAGTTTTCTTTAAAAGAGCCAAATGCTATTCTAAAATAGCCAAAACAAAAAAGTATTTTGTGTTGAATGTTAAACCTGGATGACTACTAAAGAAAACCACATAAAGCTCTACAAGTATTTGCAAAGTAAAATACAATTTGAAATATCTGTAAAGCCTTTCCAATCAATTTTTTAAAAAAGTTAATATACACCTGAATTTTGTTCCCTTCCCCTGCCATATTATCCTACGTCTACAGCCACCATAAACTATGTTTTCTGTATAGGATGCATTTAAAGTAGTAAGAAATTGAAGTAGGAGTTGCTTATCAATACTTGCTTCTGGCTTACACTTAAGGTCTAGAATGTTTTAATCTCCTCCAATTCATCACTCCCTGGAACATGCAAATCACCCACATCACTAATAAACCAGATCAAGTGAAATTACATGAAAAGCATTTGTTGATGAAAACCATATTGTCAAGTAAGTTTAAAGCTGTGAACACCCTCCTCCCAAATTCTTACAATCCATCTTGTTTAACAATAAAATCGAGCTGCTAAAACAACTGCCATCTTTACTCAATTCAACTACATTCATGTATATGTTTCTTCTTCATCAGGAACAAACAATTAGTAACAAATGAAAGAGATCATTACATCAAGTGCCCTTTTAGATCACCCCAATTAAAACTTTAGTTTAGCTGTATTTTAATTCTAAGATACCAAATTCTAATTTTCTGCTCTGATTGCTCTTGTTGACTTATCTTTGAAAGATGTACACTCAGTGCAAAGCTTAGAGATTATTTAGCAAGATGCCAATGTTGGCACCACTTAATGTGTTGATTGGTTGTATTATCAGTAGCAGTTTAAAATAAATTACTATTAAACTATTATTGTCCTTGGCTGACAAAACACAATATTTTGGTGTTCTTTAAATATGAAACAATCATTATGAATAAACATGGAGAATAATGCTAGAGTGTAACATGGATGTGTGTAATTTTATATTAAGAGTTGCTGCAAAGTACAAAGCTGCTAAAAGCATATTACATTTTCTATTGAATTTCTACACCACACTTCCTCCTCCAACCTTTCCTTTTTTTATACTTGCTGCTAACGTAGCTAATGGTAATACATTACCTATTGCTGCTGATTATGTCTGAAAAATATTAGCTTTTTGGAGCCAAGACCCACTAGGGACTACTTATAAGCCACACAAAATTAAGTTTCATTTTTAGAAGTTAAATCAGTGCACATCAGTAGGCGACCAATGTGGAAAAAATCTGCACTAGAGCCAAACTGATGCATATGCAAAAGAACTGTTGCTGCCAATGACAGCTCTAATGCAAAAATACTGGAAACATTCAATATCTTCCTGTATTCAATGCAGAAGGGGGTGAAAAAAAAAAGCCAACTAAAAAGTACAGCATCTAAAAGACATCAGGGGCCCTTGGAATGGGAATAGCAATTTCAGAGTTGCATGAAATTCTATTAATTCTCCCAGTGGATCAGCTGTAAAAGATTATACAAAATACAGTATGTCCAACTTGTATTTGCTATGGTTAATCCTCTAACCTGATATTAAATCAATATGCTGCCAATGACAATGGGAAATGCAGTGCAACACAGGACATTAACAAAAAGAAAATCTTTCCCTTTAGGGAAGGTCAGATGTTATGGAGGCTGGATAATGATAATTGTAGTGAACATGCTCAGGTTCCAGATTTGTTTTTAATACAGTATGGCTCTATCTGGAGCCAAGCTTTAAACATGGCACGCCATACTTCCCCTCTATGTCAATCTTAGTAATTTTTTAAAATTTCTATTTAATGTAAAAAATGGGCATTTTTACCCCCTGGAGATTTACAGATCATTCTGATTTCATTTGTTTACTTTAATGCACTTTTAATATTGTCCATTGATAAATTGTTCAGAAATGCCCCAAATAAAAAACTTGATATATGGTTGAAGTTTCTTTCCATTCTCTGATGTATCTGAAAACACTATCATGGTAGGGCAGTCTACTGATCTTATAGAAATTAAACATATATAAAACCTCAACTCAGCCTTAAAGCCAGTATTACTCATCATTATTTTTTTTTAAATGCAAATAATATGTTGCCTATTTTGAAAGGGGTAGAGGGGAAGGTATATAGAAGCTATTTCTCTTTCTATCTACATCTACAGTATGCTCCACCTAATATAATTTAGTTAGCTACATAGTCATATGTGACATCAAAACTGTCTTACTAGCCAGACCAGTGGTCTATCTAGAAGGCCATATCCTGTTTCCAACAATCACCCACAGTGAGTGAAAAAAAAGGAAAAAAATAGAAAAAAAAAACCCAAACAAAAAACTAGAAGAACAAGGCATGCACACAGTGAAGCTTTCATAGTCAAACCTCACAGCTTCCAGACATTTATAGCTTAGGGGCTTCCTTTTGCCATATCAGATATTCATGGTGAAAACACTTTCAAATAACATTGTTCTCTTTTAGTCAGGAAATTAAACATAAATTGTATGCTCTCACTATTAAAACTGTCTAGTGAAAGGCTTGCAAAAAATCAATATATATGTATACACACATATTTACTTAACTTTGCTTCAAAGGTAAATTTTTGAATATCTGCTATTTGTATCTCATTATTGACTTAGTAACACAAGCAAGGTAAGATGATCCCAGAAAGACATTTTTGTAATACCTCAGATTGAATATCTCCATCACAGGTAAAGGCATATTGCACAAGTATAAATGACATTTTCCCATTAACATTTTCTGTGAAAAATAAAACCATTCTCTTGAATTTTAGCAGAAGATAAATAAAATAACATGAAGGAAAACTGGGATTTTTACTGTATCCAGTGTTTGCAATATTTTTCTCTTGTGTATTTAGACATAGATGGTAACAGTGCAGGAGACTCACAGCAATAAAGCCACTAGTTTGCTTTATTTTCATTGGGGAATTTAGTTTGTAATCATGCATTTCTTTTATTAATATCAGTGGGATACTTGCAACTTATTTTACATATCTCTTTTAAAATACTTAGCAACAAGACTGTGTCAATACAACACAGGCTTAACAGAAAAACATAGTGATCACAATGTAATTAATTGAACCCTTAGATATTAATGGAAATTCAGCTCAGGGACAGCAAAGATTGAGACTCTAAAAGCTTAGAATAACATTACTATTACCCAAGAATAATGCAGTATCATGAAAGGCTATGGCTGTAACATATTTTGGCATAATTGGGCCACGATTCAAAAAGGTGAACTTACGCGAGGGATACGGAAACATTCTCACTACCACCCACACAGCATTTTGCTGTGACCCACCTTCCACCACCCTTCATCCTCCCTGCAGCTGCACACAGACTTCCAGCATTTAATCTGGAAGAAATCAACAAATATACATTGGGAAGGAACAGATATATCACTTAATTTAAGCTCTCTGGGGAAATTTATTTTCTCTTCCATTTAGATGTGCAGATACGCATCTGAATGAGAAAATATGTCCCTAATCTAATTTCTTTATTTTATGTGTGTATTTGTTTAATTATATTTTGCTACAGATTATTATTTGCATTTCAGCAGTCCCCAGCAAGAAACTGGTTGTTCTGGGTACTCAACTGTATGTTATTATCTCCTCTTTAAATGTACAAATAATTAAACATTGTATTTTTGTTTCACCAAATATTTATAGAGAAGTAAGAAAAATGTACATATGATATACAAAAGGAAATAAACCTAACTAGCAGCCCCTGGTGACAGTGACAGCAAATAGGCTGGTCTAACATTTGCCTAATATTACGAATTAGTGATTATGGGCTATCCATTTAACTTCAGCATGGATGGAAGACGAAGAATCACTTGTGTTTAGTGGCCAGTTTTAAAGGATGACTCGGACTTCTAAAATGGAAGTAAGTAGAGTTAAACACCAAGTTCAATCACCTAAGCTCTTCAGCACCTTCAAGACTTTCAGCACATTTTGTTTTCAATTATTAAAAGTGGTTAGAAATTTTTACTCACATACCCAAAAGCACTCACTCCACTGCAAGGTTTAGGATCCTCCTTATTGCTGAGAAAGGTCAAAATTAGAGTTCTTGGTGCCCATAGAGTACCCTAATTATGTTCCACTTTAAACCAGGACAGGCTCTGCAACTTCTTCAGGAGGCACCCAAGGCCTATATTACACAGATCCTCTGGATCCTGTACCTCACACAACTGAATATACGCAAGGGAATCACAGCACAGATGTCTAACATCACAGCCCTGCACATCGGTGTACTCAGAGGCTGCTTGCCTATGTACTCAAGTGACCATCGTATCCCTAAAATACAGGCAAACTCCAACACCACGTGTGGCTGGTCACGCACGCACCCCAGTCCAATGATGTACACTTGCATTTCACAAGTGGACGTATACCCTTTCTGTGAAAGGACACATCCATATTTTCAACATGCACGACCCTGCAGAAAAAAGAACAGTGTTTACCAAAGCCTCTCATCTAGCCTTTGGCTAGATTTCTGCTATTTTCTGTTTCAAAAGCACCTTAGTACTGGAGGCAGGGAATGGACTGTAGGCCACATGATCTTTTCTTACAAGTTAAATCTGCTCCATTGCTAGCACAGCTACAACAAGAGACTGGTGAGGTATCTTACTGCTTCACCTCCCCTTTGAATTCACATCTTTGTACTGAAAGGGATGGAAAATTCATCTGGATCAAAGGAGAGCAAAGAGGAATTTACCCAGTGACAAGAGTCCTTCTGACTCATGTACTATAAGTATCATGGGTTCCAGGTAGTGCTTACGCATTTCTTAGCAAGTCACAAATGAAACAGCAAGCAGAGATCATTGTGCAGAATCTTCTCTTTCCACAATTCCCATTAATGAGATTCAACTTGTAGTCAAATACCTAAAACTCAATTCTGAAAGTGTCAGTATCACAGTATCTAATTCATCTGTGGGCCTGGGGTAGCCCCCTCTCATTGCAATAAACACATTTTAAATGGCATTAATTAGAGAAACTGTCACTATTGTGCATGGGTTCTTGTAATAGACTCTACTGTTTTAAAAAGAATACTTAACTTTTTCTACACAGGCGAGAAAAATCAAACTAGTTATTTCTAAAAAATTATTATTATTTTTATTAAGAGGTTTTTTAATGTAATCTTGACAGAGTTTTAAACCTAGGGTGGGAGAAAAATGCTTTGATGGTCCATGAAAGGACTCCCAGAAATCTCTGGAAAACATGTAATGTGATGTGGGGAACATACTGAATATATCCAAAGGGACTTAAGTGCCACCTGTTTACCCTGATAGGTAATTTTCATGATGTAGAACCTGAAGGTAAGGAGCAGTAAGTGCAAAAGAACAATGAGAGAAGGCATAAAGAAGTCTCAGTTTTATTTACAATGTTGCCTTTAATTTTAGCTTTTCACCCCAGACAAGATTTTTGTTTTGTTTTGTTTTGTTTTGTTTTAAAAAAAAACTATGACTGAATTTCACGTTCTCATTTTCTGTAAAAAAAACCTGAATGCCTTCTTAGCAAATTAATCCTGGTCATTTATCCTGAAGTAGTGCAGCACTCTCATATTCAATCACAAGATTAGCTAACCTGTTGATGCTGAATGCTTTGTTCATTAGATTGCTGTCTAGAGACATTGAGTGCACACATTTGTCAAAAAAATTACTAAGAATTTTCCTGTACATGCACGCACAGCTAAAACATTACATACTTTTCTAACTGTGTTTCTTCCTTTAGAAAAAAATACATTCTTTACAGATTGCAGCAGATCTGTTAGAAGAATGCTAAGTGCTCTAGAATTACCTTAGCTTATGATTTAAATATTTAAGATCCTACATCTCAGAACCACAAAAAGCAATCACAAATATGCTCTTTCAGATCAGGCAGATGTGGCAATACTTAATTCTTAAATAGCATTTTTTCATTATTAGATATCAAAACATCACTAGTGAATGGATCATACACTTTGCCTAAAAAAAGCCTCAGGTGCCTTGATGAAATTGTTTAAGAAAGTAAAGTGAGCAGGATTTGGCCCTACTCTGTCATAGCCTTTGCTGAATAGGATACAATTGATTTTATGTGTTTGTGGGAATGAACACGGAAAAATATTGTGACAAATAAATTAGAAGTTAGTAGTTGCACAGACAAGACTTATCTGGAAGGAGTACAGTATGGCTGCATTATTTCCTGCACTATCATTTTGCTTCTGCATGCAATACATAACCATACTGTTGCAAAAGTTGCATCTGGGGAACACATGACCACTAAATTTGCGGACAAAGAAATTCTTCATTCTAATATGAAACTCTAACATCTTGGCTCCAAGCTACATGCTCGTGTATACCTTAAACAATATTTGAATCAGGCTGCACTGTACACACAATAGACATCGTGACTACCGAATAGGAAATCTGCAGAAAATTTGGTAATACCCTTTGAAGTCTGTTCTTTGAAGACAGTACTTTACGTGAAATGAGTTCATTTATTAAAGAAGTGCTTCATGCAAATGCTTTTATGGGATACACATTTCAAATAGCTTTAAATATCATTTCCACCTTGGCACTCCAGCAATTTAAAATAACTATTTATTAAAGAAATGTTTGTCTTCTTAGTAAATGAGATAAAGTTAAACAGTAAGATACATTTCATTAGCCTGTAATAAAAAAAGCACTTAAGACAAATGTTGTTAAACACACCAATGTAATTTTCATCCAATTCTCTGCTGTGGTTTAATATACAATCTGTATTTTTATGTACTGTATCTGACAGTTTCCAAATTCATTTGTTTGCTGTGGTTCCTTTAAAACCTAAATTACTAGAAAGTTTCAGTAAATTAGTTGATCCAAATAATCTTATGAACTGATTAAGCTAGAATGGTCGTATTAATTTAGACAAATCTGCAACTGGCTCCTCTCCATCCCTTTAAGCTGATCTACAGAAAGGCCTACCTGGATGTTAGTCAGAAGTGTCTCTATGGAGGACAATCCATCAGGGAATAGAAAAGGAGATGGAAAACCTGGAGGTAGTGGTTGCCCATGCCCAGTTAGAGAAAGTTTGTCAAGGCTGTCTCTTGCGGTTGGTGTGGAGAGCGGGGTCTCATCTGTATGTGATTGAAACAAAAATATAGAACAAGTTACGCTTGTCTGTTTTTATTAGACCTCAGTAATGGCTTCCCTAGTGGTTTCCAGAACATTTATTGCAAATTGGTTCCTGCTATCAGGAGAAAATGCTTTCTGCTGAATTTTCTTTAATGAAAAAGCTGTGGAGATACAAGAAGATAACATTAATGAGTAACTTTATAAGCCTTTTAAATGCAGTCTCTAATGAGACTGAGTTTACAGTGCCATAGAATCTTTTTAAAACAAATATTATCTCACATATACTTGTGATAATATATTCAGGCTGACTTTATGGGCACCTTCCCAATTATCTCATTTTAGTTTGTGTTCTATTTGGATTGACAATAGAATATTTTCTAGCATGACATATATTTTGTATACCAGAAGTATCTGAATATGAGGCTTTCCCATACAATTAACCCTTCCCACTCTTAATAGTTTCACTTACAGCTCAGAAGATTCTGCAACATCAAGAAAAACTACAGCTCCTCAATGCATTTTTAATCAAGAAAGTATACCTGATTCCCACAATTGAAACATGCTCTGAACAATACATGAAATTAACAGCATGGTTACAATCACTGGCCTAATTTTTTTAAGCACGGACATCTTCTAACAATTAGTGCTAAACTCCTTAGTGGGATCTTTGTAACAATCAGATCTGATCAGTTCTGACATCACAATGGGAAAAAACTCCCACAGTTGACGACTTCTAAAAGTTTCACAGATGATCTGTGAACAGATTACAAAGTGCGTGCCAAAAAAACCCCAACAAAATCCCCACAATTAATAGAAACTTCAATATTCTCCTCTTTTTTTTTAACTTTTTGAAATATTTTTAGGCTACTGTTGATATGATACAGAAATTTAGGTCAATTTCTTTGCACCAGATGTTAATCTGGATTCTTCAAAAGGAAAACCATCTATACATTTATGTAGATACATATATCTATACATACTCTTCATACCAAGGGCTCAATCATTAACTGACACACACTGATGTATCTCAACACCGTACAAGGACATCAGAATGTACTCTTTGAATTATGCAGATCTCTGCAAAGCTATTTGACTACAGAAGAGATTGTCAGACTTGCTCTTTTCCATGTGGGCTTTGATCATTATAAGATACATATGTTTTTGGGTATTTTAAATTCTCTTTCTGCACTTTATTTAACTATAGTTTCCACAAATAGTTAATACTTCTTTATCTATCCTATCATCTACGTTAGAAGTTGTATTTTCTTAAGTAGACATAGTCTAGGATGAGGAAAATTGAAATCTGCAGCAAAGAAGGGTTAGAGCGTAGGCTTTGACAACCTCAGAACCAGAAAAACATAACTCTGAGTCCCAGTTCATTCCAAGAGTCTCCATCCACTGCTACTCCAGAAGGAAGCAATCTCCATCAACCATGCTCAGGTGCCGATTTCTTGCCCCATGTTCTCACCAGCTCTGTGGTGCTGGCCGGTATTTACAAGTGCTAGAGTAAAAGCCTCACACACTATGTCCCTTGAGAGAAATACACAAACAGGCATTTGGACATCTGCTTCTGGGCTGGTCCCACTTAGCTCTTGCTATAGCCACTGGAGAGAAGCAGACACCACTTTAAGGCACTAATCCATCTACACTGGTTTAAGTCACTAATCCATCTGAACTATCACAGGCATCTATGGCAGGAGGAGACAAATCTCCTCTAGAAGTGCCTACTGACTGTAAGAGAAGCCTAAGCTGGCTGGCTGAGATGGAAATACTGGCTGAGATGGAAATACTTTTGGTGAGATCAGTCCTACCATGGAAGCTGTTCTTCCTGCTTCGCTGTGGCTTAGGCTGAGAGTAGCCCACACAAGGGGTAAAACCCTGTTTCATGTCCTCTGTCACAGTTTATGAGAAAGCAGTAATTGTAACACAAAGTCATCATTCAAAAGCTTACCAAGGCAAGCTTTGTGAAATGAATTGATGTTGACCAATCAAAGCTTCAGCCCACTCAAGATCATAAAAGTTTTTTTCAGCTATATTTAAGTTTTCTACTCATGACCCAAAAGACTGAGAAAAACTGGATGTAGATTACTGAACTATTTCCTATCTACCTTACCAAGATTCAAAGCAGATTGTGAAAAATGTACTCTGTGGCTGCATCCTCTGTCCTCATGCTAACTCAGAACATCATGGATATCTCTGTAGCCATTTTGTAGTAACATACTACATTTGGCCCTAAATCTGAATTTTTTGTATTCCCAATTTTTAAACTACTGTAGAAATATTCACCACTTCATTAAAAAAAAAAATTAGGTATTCCTCAGTATTGCAAACTAGGTTATTGTTCTCAGATCATTGTGCTAGTTCATCTTCTCAAATCCTGGTCTAGTGTGAAAGATCATTACCAAATTACTTTTTCCAAACTGTGCCAGAATTTTTACGCTTTCATTAATCAAAGGAAACAACCCAAAACTTAAACAAAACTTGTTAGACAATAGATTTATAAAGACTACACAATATTATTGCACAGATGAAAGCTTTTATTTCCTCTGCTGCAAATACGACTTTCCCAAGTGACTCCTACCCAATATTAAAAGAGAAGTTAAAATAAGTAAATAAATAAACCAAAATACAAAATTTCTTCTGTGTTACAACACTGAGTTATTTGGCTAAAGACTTCTTTATATATGTGGTTCCTGTGAAGGTACTGAACTTGCACAGTACAGCAAGAGTCTAATCACTAATATGCATGGTGGAGTTGATTCATGCAAATGAGAAAGCAAATTAAAAAAAAGACATCATTTGCCCCTAGGTTTGTCAGAGAAATGGATCAGTGGACTTTCTGAGACAGCTTAGAATCTTACTAATATCTCAGGTCTCAAATTGTCAAAATATTTTAAAACATACTAAATAAAACTGACCCACTTAAAAATCCATACATCCTAATTCACTCCAAAACTATGCTCTTCCCTGCAATTGTTGAGATATAGAAAGCTCCTAACACAGATCTTGTGATAGAATTTAAGCAAGAGATTAATTTTTTTGATGTATTGCTATTGTAAAATCACATATTTGTTAAGTTTGCTGTACTTTGTGCATGCTCAAAACATGTTGTGAAGTTTGTGAAAATTTCCCTAACAATGTGTTGCATGGATTTGCAATAGGCAAAGTAACACAAAAAAAGGTTCAAGTTATGCAGAATGGTATGAACTCAAAATAACATCCAAGCTCCTATGTTATAATAAATAACAGAAACAAATTTGCACTGAAGGGTAAGACTAGAGAGCTGAACTTACTATGAACTTATTTTAATGAAATGTCAGTTTGGGGAAAAAAAAAGTCAGACTAATGTGACTTTGTTTTCTTGATGTCCCATGTGAAATAAACTTTGAGTGTGAGTATGTTTGAAACAGAGCAAATGTACATACTATACACAGGAAGTATGGATATTTGTGGATGTGAGACAAGCGATGATTGAGGGGATCTTGAAAAAATGCATTTTTAAAGAAAAAACACATTGTAAACACAGCCAATTAAAGCATAACCACATATCTTAGTAGCAAAATCATACGACCTCTTGCAATTAAGGCATTTTAAAATCTTGCAGAATTCCTCTTTTCTCAGTACAATGATATATCTTTGTCTCCAAATAAACATTAGACTAACATCTTTTAAACTGTTGCAAAGGAACTACTAATGTTCCTCTTAACCTACTAGCAGAGTAACAGAAATGAAGAGCCCTCGCTGGGAGACAGAGATCTGGCATTTTCTGATGTCTGAACGCATCAAAGGAAGCATTCGAAGACAAGTCAGGGCAAGAGGGGAAATAGGGTCAATCTACAACTCCATTGTCGGAGTCAGGGGCATAACAGTGTAAAGAAAAGGGAAAAAAAGAAAGGACAAGGCAGAACAAAGAAGTGTCCGGGCCTGCCTTGGCTTGTGGTGGGAACTGAGATGTTATAAATTAACAAATAAACAAGGACAGGACAAGCTGTTACCCAAGCCTCTACAGTACCTGAGAAGAGACGAATATGTGCCTTGACATATGAACTCAATCACCATAATAGGCAAGTCTGAATGTGACGCATATCTTTAAAATATTTGCAAATGCTACATCCATTCCATCCATTGTTCCTCAATTTCCAAAATTCACCTGTTTTTGTTCAAACCAGATTTTATCTGCAAACAGCAGCTGGTTTGGGCCGAACACAAGGAACATTTTTCACTCTATTTGGTTTGTTGCCATTCTATTTTATTCTTTCACCAGATAACATGGAAACAGACATCCTGGAAGCTGTGACAGCAATTTAAACAATAATAGATGAATAGAAGTAGCCATTCTCTTGTCTTTGTTCCGAAAAGCAAGTAGGATAAGTTTAGGCTGGTCACCAATCAAACTGGAGAATATTGATATTGCCAGGATTTGAAAACAAGCAATAATAGCTGGCTCAAAAATATACTTTACAGATTACTGACTTTCCATAATCATTTAATGGTTTTTAGTAATGTATCTTGATGCTTCTTTGTTCTCTGTAAAATATTTCATATGTATTTGTTCCTAAAACAGGCTCATTCTTACCATTTGAATGATGAAAGGGGATTCTGTTTCCACTTTTTACTATCATAAATCTGGTGCATACATTTTTGTGGAAACAATCTATTCCATTTGTCTTAATATGATTTTGGTTTATGTTGTCAAACACCCTTTAGTACTAAGTTTTGTATTTCACCTTCCTCAGAGTTAGAAGTTTCAGATGTGAGAAGGTCTTTTATTTTAATTCATCTGTAATTGTTGATTTATATTAACACAAAAGAACAGGAGGGTCCCACATGCTGAACTGAAATGTTTACCAACTTCATGCAGATTAAAAAAATAAATAAATCTCCTTGCTCAATTCCCTATCATTTGGCTGCCTTATACAATTGGTTGTTCAAGATTCACCCTGCACACAACTAGGGGCAACGCAAGATGACTGTGAAGGACGTTATGGACTGTAAAAGGAAT